AAATTTTTAGAACTTGAACTATCAGAGTAGAAATGAAAAATGCAACAAAAGAGGCAGAAGATCAACGTGATAAAATTTCCAAGAAGGTAAAGCAAAAGTGTAAAGAGATGGAAATACAGAAGAAAGTTCGATAATCAGTCCAGAAGATTCAATCAACTCAAATAATAGAGCTGCAGAAAGAAAGAAATCATCAAAAAATAATTCAGAGCTGTGTTACATATATACAATGGACTACTACTCAGCCATAAAAAAAGAATGAAATCATGCCATTTGCAGCAACATGGATGGACCTAGAGATTATCATACTAAGTGAAGTAAGTCAGACAGAGAAAGACAAATACCATATGATTATCACTTATATGTGGAATCTAAAATATGACACAAATGAACCTATCTATGAAACAGAAACAGACTCATGGACATAGAGAATAGACTTGTGGTTGCCAAGAGGGAGGGGGTTGGGGGAGGGGTGGAGTGGGAGGTTGGGGTTAACACATGTAAGCTATTATATATGGAACGGATAAACAACAAGGTCCTACTGTATAGCACAGAGAACTATACTCAATATCCTGTGATAAACCATAATGGAAAAGAATACATTAAAAAAAAATGTGTGTATATGTATATATATACATATATATATACATACACACACATATCTGAATCACCTTGTTGTACAGCAGAAATTAACAAATTGTAAATCAACTATACTTCAATAAAAAAAATAATTTTGTATTTATAATTGTACTTCCAAACTTTAAATAATAATAATAATTCAGAAAAATTTCCCAGAACTTGGTTGCCAGCTTGAAAGGGCCCAATACAATGAATTAAAACAGAACCAAATCATGGCAAATCGTCATGAAATTTTAAAACACTGGAGACAGAGAGAATCTTCCGTTTCCAGAAGGAGAGAAAAAAAGAACTACAACAACAAAAAGTCACACAAAGAATCACGAGCCAGTATGACTTCAGACTGTTTAACAATAGTAGAAGCTATTGAAGAAGACAATGAAGTAACACAAAATTCTGAAGGAAAATAATTTATAGCTTAGAATTTTTATACCCAACCAAACTACCAATCAAATGTGAGAGTAAAAGAAAAAAGACATTTCCAGACATCTGTGTTTCAAAACTTACTTCCAGTGCCCTTTCTCAGGATGCTTCTAGAGAACGTACTCTACCAAAATGATGGAATAAACCAAGAGGAAGTTATGGAATACAGAAAACAAAAGATTCAGTTCAAGGGAAATAAAGGGAATCTAAGAAGATAGCTATTCAACAGGTATAGCAGGGCAATCAGTCCAGGTTGGATCAGGTAGGAAGACTCAAGAAAATGAAATTAACAGAATATTTGATGAAAATAAATATCTGGAGATGAGAGGACAATATAAGTTTGAGTTAATGATAAGTACACAACATAAATAGTATATATATATATATATATATATATATACACACACACACATATATATACACATATATGTATAAATGGATGAATGCTAAGAACACATTTAGAAAGATAATAATTAACTACAAGGAATGAAGTAAATTACGCAAAAAGAAAAAGAAGGAAGTTAGGTCCACCTGAACAAAAGCTGAGTTCAAAATGCATCATAAAGCACCTTTTCTCCAGAAAGGCCATGGCTTGCTGGGAAAGATACATACAGGAAGCTGCACTGTTTGTATAAATGTGCAGCCTAGAATTAATTTACAGCCTAGAATTGACCTAGAGTCATTTAATAGTACATTCTAATAAAAGAGCAAAAATTAACATTTTCAATAGAATTTCTGAATAATAATGTCTTGTAATTATTGTAATTTGATAAGCAAAAAAGGGGATTGATGGTTCACGTTCAGGTATGATATAAAGTTTAAGTCAGCAACAGAAGCAAGGTGAAAACCAGAAGTGCTTGCAATCTAGTCCTAAGTGCCCATGGCAGGTTGCTCCCAAACTTCTTAAGCAAAATGACTCAATGGAGCTGCAAGAAAGCTGAGGATAAGGGTAAAACAGCTGCTCCTGGAGTCTCTCATGTTCAACCCCATTTCTGGCAGCAACCTTCTCTGTGGAAGAGCTTGAGAACACATGTCCAAGTGCAGAGGCAGGTCATCACAGGACTGGAAGAACCCCAGCCTAAGCTCCATACTGAACACATGGCTTTGGGCTTCTACCAGTCTAGCTATGAAACTATTCTCGCCTACAAAATTCTAGAAACACTCTCCTTTCAACATTTACTAAGTGCTATAATCCTTTAAATGTATTCACCACCCTTAGCACTTATGTATCATTTTTTTAAAAAATAGTTATTGAGCAGTTAATATGAATTCCTATGACTACCACTATTTTCTAAGATTTAAATTTGAAGTCTTACTATCAAAAGAAATGCTTATTTTATTTAAGAGTCGGCCCACTTGGTATCCTCTATTATTATCAACATAAAAATACCTATTTGTGCCTATTCCACGACACTTTCCACACAGCCAGATGGCCTAGGCCTACCACTTCCACAACATCCAAACCGTGTTCCTTACCATTTTCTGAATTTCACATAATTGGCACAATCTGTACCCAGGATATCACTCACCATTTGGTGCATACAGCAGAAGCTTATTTAGAGTAATCTAATGATAAAGAACAGACATGTGTTTGATGGTATGTTCCAAGAGCCAGCTAACTAATCTATAAAAATTTGCTTTAAAGCATTCAGACTTCCTAAAGTTGGTCTGTTACCAAATCATTTCTAATCTTCGCTTTTCAAATCAATCTTTAGGCACATTCTTGTGTAAACACTGAAACAGCAACAAGGAACAGCTTCTGAGTGAGTCACAAGTTCCTTTAGTATAGTTTGAAACTCTAAAAAGTCATTCCTACTCTGCCTGTTGGTTACCTTTAAAAGGATCATATTCCATCATATGTGGAATCTAAAAACAAAAACAAAAACAGAAAACCCGAATTCATAGATACAGAGCACACATTAGTGGTTGCAGGGGGTGGTTGTGTGGGCAAAATGAGTGAAGATGGTCGAAAAGTATTTGTAAGTTGCTAAAAGAGTAGATCTTAAAAGTTCTCATCAAGAGAAAACAAAAAAAACTTTGCAAGTATGCAATGGTAAAGGATGTTAACCAGACTTACTGTTGTGATCATTCTGCAATATATATATATATATATATATATATATATATATATATATATACACATTGAATCCTTATGTTATATATTGATACCTGAAACTAAAATAACGTTGTTTATCAATTATACCTCAATTTAAAAAAGAACTAGATTCTGCATTTACCAGAGTTTTAAAACTTTTATAAGTTCACAAACTTTATGAAATGCAAATATTAAAGTACAGTTTAAAGAGAGGCAGGAAGGCATAATAGAAATCACAGCATCCATTTTGATGCCATGGATAGTTTGATTCAGCTCTTCTGATTAGCAATTGATCATTTTTTCAGCTTTGCTCCTATTTTCTCTTGAGAAAAACAAAAACCTCTAACATCTGTCAGTGAATCCTTTCAAGTAGTGAAGGCAATGTGTTTGGAGATCTGTTGCTTGATGAACGGTTATAAGCCCTGATTGTCAGCCACTGGGTCAAGGTCGAAAACAAAATAACAAATGGTTTGACATCCATTCTGTAACCTCAAAAGAGTCAACCATAAGACTTTCAACTACCGGGGCAGCCTCTAGTATTGGCAGCAAAACAACAACACAGTGCACCAAGCAATGGTACAACAGATGCCGCAAACCCCTTAACCAATGCACACATTTTTTCCCTAGGGATTAGTATTTCCCAATTTCAACTTGTTCTTTCTTTTCAAATGTAGCAGAAGCATATGGAACAGTTACGTAAGTCCTCTTGGGCACTGCAAGTATTCTTGGAAGCAGTAGTTATTATTCTAGTAAAACTTTGTGGGGGAAAAGGCCTAAAAAAAGTAAAGACTCATGAAAAATTGGTCACAACTAAAGTTTGGGCACATAAAAAAAGTTCTACAATAAAATTATTAAATTGGCAAGGGTTTACATTTGGGCAAAAAATAAAATTTGCTTATGTAGGGACAACCAGGGGAAAAAATGCAATGGTATTCAAAACTGCTACTACATCAAAAATGGTAATGTCCAAAAATGTAAGCCACTAAAACCCCACCAAGGACCCTCATTTAAATATGAATTCTGTCACTTAGTAACAAGTTACTAACCTTCTTCTTAGCATCATCATTTAGTCAAGGTAATGCAAGGTGTTGTAGCATTATATAAAGACAACAATATACATAATTTCCCACCAGTAAGAAGGTGCTAAACCTTCTCAACCTCACCAAGTTTTTTTTTTACAAGGAACAGAGTCTAATGTATGTGAGTGACTTCTGCAGTAGGTAAGACACTATAAAAAGTTTATTAACAACTATAAATATAACTAATTGATACTTTTTAAAAATTTTAGGCACATTTTGAAGATAAAGCAAATTATTTCTCTAATAAACCTCACTTGTTACTGTTATGACTTAAACTGTAAAGCTTAAGTGATGAAAATCAAAGGAATGCTTTTTACTTACACTCAATATCCAAACTTGTCTGCATATTAATACCACCACAAATATTTTACTAGCAGATTTCTCCTTCAGTTAAGTCAAATAAGAAGTTGTTCTGAGGTCAAAAGAAATAAGGCATCTCTTTCTAAAAGTAGATGGTCTAAGTAAATTTCCTATTTTGATGATGGTACATACTTTGAGGTTGAAACAGGAGAACATCCTGTATTGTAACAGAAGGGCCTCTATGTATTGCTATAGTTAACAAAAGTGGGCAAACTTTACTATTTACAATGCAAAAATTGGAATAATCTCAGTTTGTGCAATTAAAATTTCTAAGGATTCTCTCATGTTATCTGCAAGATTTTACAAAATAAAATAAAAATAAAGCTCTGAGATGTTTCCCATTAGCACCTGGTGTCCTCAAGCTGAAGAACATTATCAGTTTTAAAAGATTCGATTTCTATCACACTTACTTTTTTGTGATAAATGCTACAGAGTCCTCTTTCGATGTCAGGCAATTTACGTAGATGATTTTCTATCTGGCCAAACACACTGGATTCTGAATGGAGAACTTCAGATACAGCATCAAGTCGAGCATTTATCTCCCTGTGAGAACAGAGTAATGGCAATTATCAGATATGTTAGGAACTCAGACTGCAGGCATTTCCCACTCTAATGCCCAGCACTGTGAGAGCAGCCACTCAGAAAAGAACAAAGGAGACTCTTCCTCCATACCTCTGGCCCTTCTCTGCCCCTTATCATCGAAATCAAAGAGCAGGTACCACACAAGGAAAGTCATTAACTAGATGGCTAGTCATTAACTAGCCAGCAGAGACTGGCTCCTTAAGTTTTCCTTCCTCCAGAGCAAACACACAGACTACACTTCCCAGCCTCCCCTGCAGTGAGGTATGGCCGTGTACCCAAGTTCTAGCCAGTGAAATGTGGGTAGGAATGATTACACCACTTTTAGCCCTGGCCCATAAAACCTCCTGTGATCTTCCACATTCACTCTTTCCCCCTTTGCCAACTGGCTGTTGAGTCCAGGGCAATTCTGTGAGCCCCTCACCTGCTGACTCCATCAGCATGGGTGTGTGAGTAGAGCAGGAAACCCTCCACTCCCACATCTGCTACCAAATGAACGTTTCATTAGCAAAAAATAAACTTGTATTGTATTTAAACCACTGAGATTGAAAATTTACTTGCTACCATTGCTTGTATTACCTGGCTAATAAAATGGGTCTAGAGTGGGCAAATGAATTTTCTACTCTGACTGAAAGGACGGACCATCTCAATCAAAAAGCAATTCTTTCAGCTAACCAACTTTTTTGAGAGAATACTTGGTGGTGGTGGTTGAATTGATCAAGTGTTTGACTGAAACGGGACTAGGCACACTGAGCCTGGGCAAAGACTGGGAGCAGCAATAGAAAGTGCAGAGGATGGGACTTCCCTGGCGGTCCAGTGGTTAAGACTCCACGCTTCCACTGCAGGGGGCATGGGTTTCGATCCCTGGTCAGGGAACTAAGATCCCGCATGTCGTACAGCACAGCCAAAAAAACAAAAAGGAAAGTGCAGAGGAAAAACATCAGGAGACATGGGAGGCCAGGGCTGCAGGATTTTATGAATGGCTACACCCAAAGTGATGGGCTACTTGGGGAGAAATGGTGAGACTCTGTCAACTCAACATGGAAACCTGACTAAATGTGTCCTAAATGAGATAAGGCCCATCCAGCACCTATACACATCAAAGGCCTACACTGGATATGATGGCCATATGTGAAAAGACTGAAATAAGTAAACATATCTAGTAGAAAACGGGTCTTTAGTAAATGCTTTTTGGATCAATGAATGAACAAACAAGCAAGCAAATGAAAGAATGAACTGACATTTGGGGGGAAATGGGGCCATCAGCTGTTGAATACACATCTATCAAAGTTCTGTTGGTATCATATACACTGATGTGAAGGGCAAACCTTTATCAGAATCCTGCCTAGATAACTATTAAATTGAGTATTTCACAATTAATTGAGTGCTTTTATCTTTGTTATCCTTTTAACTATCCTGTGAATTCACAAAACAGATACTAACTTCAGGTCTCATTTTTTAAAAAAAGATTTATTTATTTGGCTGCACTGGGTCTTAGTTGCAGCATGCGGGATCTTTAGTTCCCTGACTAGGGATCAAACCCGGGCCCACCGCATTGGGAGCCCAGAGTCTTAACTACTGGACCACCAGGGAAGTCCCCAAGTCTCATTTTTGTTCCGTTTTTTCTCTGGCTCATCCTCCGCTGTGTAGAACAGGCATTTGGTTTAGCATGACAAAGTAGAACAAGCCAGAGCTTTGTAGACACACAGGCTGATTCTTCCATTCTCAATGGGATGGCCTCTTAAATGTATTCAGTTCTTTCCATGTCTATTGCCACTACCCTAGTCTAAGTAAAAGTCATTTCTCACAAAGAGAAATGTTCTACCAAATCAGCCTCCTAACTTTCCACCCCATGCACACTTCTGTCCCTTTTTCCAATTCATTCTCCACACTGTAGCCCGAGTGGTCTTCCTAGAACCCAAACCTGTTCATGCCATACCTCTGCCTTAAGCTCATCAATGACCTGCCATTAATCTTAGATTCAAATCCAGAAGCCTTAACTGACCTATAAGACAACTGATCCCTGCTTACCTCGCAAGTCTCGTCTCAGATCACCTGTCGCTCTCTTCCTTTCACTCTAAGTTCCAGCTGGACTGAACTTCTCCCAACATCTCGGTCACTCCAAGTTCTCTGACATCAGGGCTTTATCATCTGCTCCTCACTTTGCCTTGAAGACTCCTTCCCCCTTTCCTACTGCCTACCAGCTTCCACTTTGGCAAACTCCTTCTCACCCTTCCTCTGAAAGGGCTTTCTAGACTCACTAGACTGTGTTTCATCCTTTGCCATCCTTTTCCATACAACCCTCTGTTTTCTTTCCAGAGTGGAACTTACAACTGTAGTTACTTCTCTACTATCTTTACCGCTAGACAGTAAGCTTGGTGAGAATGGAGATCATTTCTTCAGTCCCACAGTTCTGAGATCACGATACGTGCTCAATAAGTAGCTGTTGAATTTGATTCAATTGAATTTCAAAGACTACATATAAAATAAATCAAGATGAGGTGAAAAAATAAAAAATTAAATTTTCTTTGCATAAGACTGTTAGGGTAAAACATTGATTTATTTTATCACAACGTTTACCCCAAATGCTATACAAATATAAAGTTTTATTTTAATAACTCACTCCTGCACAAATGAAAGATGACACCAATTGAAATAGACTAAGTTGATGCTGCAGATGGTATGAGGACAGATAAAATAATGCCATCTGTGAACGTATAAAAGACAGCCAGATAGCTACTCCCTCAAAAATTATAAAGGTTGTCTGAAATATGGAAAGATAAAAGCAAAAGAGGTTAATAAAAACATAAATCACATTTATGAAGTCTTCCAAAAGACTTTAAAAAAAATACTTTCTTGGAAAATAGAAAGGTAGTAGCTTTTTTTAGCCTTGTGACAGCCCAGACAAAAGCCTGTTCACTATGAATCACTTTCACATTAACCCAGCCTTTACTTGTTAGGGAGGTAACAGCTCAGAGGTTAAGAATTTGGGCTGAAAACGTAAATGACCTCAGTTCAAATCCAGGCTCTTCCATTTACCAGTAATTTAGACTTGCCCTATTTTCTCCATCTATAAAATGGAAATAATAATGGTCCCTAACTCATAGAGTTGTTACAAGAATTCAATGAAATAATACACATTAAGCACTTAGCACAGTGCCTGGTACATAGTAACTACTCAATACATGTTAGCTGTTACCACCATTATTATTACAGAGATCTTTATTTGGTTATGAAATTTGTTTGGTAGGCATCACAGAGAACAGCTCAGGGGAGGGAGAAACAGCACCCAAAACGTAAGCTTGGAAATAACCATGTGTAGACAAGCCTTTAGGCATAGATATGCAAAAAGGTGTTTTGTGCAAAGTGAACAGGAAAGGATTACACAAGGAAAGCTAGTTCTGGCATCTCAAGTGCTACATCTGACTGGTAGTAGTGACCTGAAGTACTGTACTAAGATTGGTTAGTAGGTACATTGAGAAAGAATGCCATAACCAACTACAGATGTCTAACACGGGCAGGGAGAGGGGGAGACGGGGAGAGGGTGTGAGGCACTGTTTACCACCACGAATTTCTCATCACTGGGGCAGCTATACTTCCACTTTTATCTCCTATAAGCAGAATGCAAATCAATAAAAAAATGACTTCTAATCAAGTTTTTTTAAATAAAATGGTATATCTTAGAACTGTTCTTTAATTAGCAGGTATAAGACTTTCTAAATAACCGTAATAAAATAATAGATCAGACCACCAGAACAGAAAACAATTATTTTGGTGCAGTCAATGAGAGAGATCAACAAAACAGGAAATAGCACTGTCAATTAAATGAGGATAAAGATATCATTCCAAGATGCCCTATGGTATTCTACAACTGATCTTATCACATGATACATTCTAAACAAATGAAAAGCGGACACCTGAGTCATTCATTTCATTCCATATGACAAAAAAACAATGAATCTGAGGTCCTGGGGATGACAAATATTCTTCTTTACCACCAAAGATCCAACGAGTAAATGTGGGTGTTGCTGGAGTCCTTCACATTTGAAAATGAACTGAGTGATGACGTTAATATCTGTTGTATGTGGCTGTCACTCAGAAACACAGTGTATCGCCTATAGCTACTGCCATAGTAAGGACATGTGATCAGTCTGTACCTGCTGGTTGCTATTTGTGGAGATGCCTCTATAATTCTAACATCAGGTTATTTGGGGAGGAAAGAAATAAACTACTGGGGAGAGGTTTTTCGTTGTTGCTGTTTGTTCTGATTTTTTCTGAAAGGTTAGCTCTAAAGACAGATGATACAAAATGAGTAAATTAAATTCAGACATTAACACATTACTCATGCGATATGGCTAAACCAACTACCTAAACAACTTTCTGGTAGAAACATGAATCACAGGCCTTCTCCTAGGACCTAACCATCATTATTTGAATCTACCTAGCTTTGCCTTTCACATACACTATTCACTCATTCATTCAATGAACAATTACTGAGTGCTTATAAAGCACCAATTGCAAAAATAGAAGATGGAGAGTGCAAATATCACACTCAAAATCTTATAGATCATGAAAGAGTTTATTTTTATTTATGAAATTACATTCTAAAGAGCTATTCTCAATATTTACTTTGTTGCAAATTGTATATCACCCAAGTTTTTAAGGATTTTTATTACTCATGTTCAAATGAGGCATCATTTTACCAAGAGACAATTCACCCTTTTCAGAATATTAAACAGAACAATTTTCTGACAGCTACCTTCCATTATTGGTTCAGGCCACAAATCTGAGTCTTTGAAAAGAGCATGAATATGATTTGTGTTTTTGATGATAATGGAAATGGGTATTTTCAGACCATCCCTCCCACTGCGGACAATTCAAAAAGCCAAACAAAACATAAAACACGTTCATGAAAGCATCAAAGGACTAACAAAATGGTAAGGAAAAACTATACTAAAATCTAA